AATTCAGCAGTCCGTAAAACTTTCAGTGCCTGTGGTTCAACATCCAATATGGCCATTCTGCCTTCTTCATGAATTTTGCGGATAGTTTCGAGCTTAGTTCCGTACATAGCATCTTCATGTGTACCTATTCATAAAAAAAAATAGGTTAAATTTTAATATTTAATATATACTGTTTCTAATGTTTCAAAATGTGAAATTTATTATCTATACTTCTAAATTAATAATTCTAACAATTAATATATTAATAATCAATAATTCTTCCATTAATTATCAATTTTAAAATTAAGAAATTAATAAATTAATTATTTATTAATCAATTTTAATAAATTAAATAAAAATTTGCATAGGCATAATTTACCGTATTCGAGGTATTCATTAGCAGCTATATCTGCCATCATTTCATCATGCGATACGAAATAGTAATTACGACCATTTTCTTCGTCACTTCGTGGAGGCCTCGTTGTATCTATAAAAAGAACATATTTAAAAAATCTTCCAATAAATATATCATTTTTAATTTTGCACATTTTTTAAAAATAACATTTAATTAATTCAGAATTATATTAAAAAATTTGAAATACTTACGCGGAATAGGATAGGCGTATTTATCAGGATGCTTGGAAATAATCGTATTTTTTATGTGTCGTCGACCGACACCATGTGCTCCCAATAATACTAAAGTTTTCCGTTGGAAGGCAGGATCTATATACAAAGAAAAATAATATATAATATTCAAAATCAATAATTATTTATTTTCTATATAAATGTTACAAGATATTAAATTATAGCTCTAATTGTATTTAATATAAATTTTGAGACATTTTAATAATAGAATTATCACTGATAACACGGTTCGAAAAATCACTTTTTCGCCATATCATAGTACATATTCCGAAGATTTTTTTCTCGTGCTGAACATGATACCATTGACAGAATTTGCATGGCATGTCAGGATTTTGAATAAATTGAGGGGAAAATGGGGGAAACAAATTTTTACCCCGATTTATTCAAAATTCTGACATGTTACACAAATTTTGTCAAGAACATCGTGTTGAGCGCAAAAAATTTTCAGGATATGTATTATTTCGGCATTTCGAAAAGAATTTGATATAAACTGTGTAAATATTAAACTGTATAATCTATAGAAAAATAAGAATTACATTTTTTATATTATAAATTATTCTTATGTTTATTTAAATTTTTTTAGAACTGCAACTAAAACTCACAAGGAAGCTTCACGACCTCTTCGTAGGTCACCAGGTCCAGCTGGTCGAAAACAGCGTTGTGCTTTGCAAGATATTTATCCTTGTATTGCTTCTTTTTCCGGCCGAATATTGAGCAATTTACTGCAAGCAGAAAAGATTGTTAATATATATAAATGCCGTGAAACCGAAGATGAAGCTATTTCTTTTCAAAAATCCGGTGTACACTTGCAAATTACTGTGCAAGTGTCATGTTACGGAATCCATTATCCGTGCTAACTAACAAGTTACGTGCCTTTATAGTGTCGATGAACGACCGCTAAATTGATCTTAAAGTACGATCACAATGACGTAAGTGTCGCAACGAAATTGACTCGCAAAATTCAAATGTGTATACGAATGTGTAAGTGTATCAGAAATTATGCCAGCCAATGATGGTTAAACTCTTTACGATGCAAGTTGTAATCTATTATCTATTAATGTTTCTCTGGAAGTTCTCTGATTTATATCGCCAAAATATAATGAGGCACGACAGATATTTTCCGTAATTGCACAAAGAGGGTCGTTCACGTCGCTAAAGTATTTCCCGATATTACTTCTCCTAAACATGTACCCAACATAGTGTGTTAACCTATTGGAAACATAGTACGCATCGACGTGTGCACTTAATATTAGCAACCCTCCGGAGCGTCTTGAAAATTAATGCTAACACGAAGTGATAAACTACTCTGCGAATATTGGTTCCTGGATCAAGCAAAATCTTATCTATTGATTATAAAAAGAATTTCATTCAATCAGCCAGTTTGAAGGAAGCCATGCCCAAAGGCACTTGGGGAAGTCCTATTGAAAGGGGTGTTCCAGCAGGTCACAAGATGATAACGTAAAGTCGATGATTAATTAATGCGTTGTTGAATAAGTGACATAATAGGGGAACCATGGTGAATTACCTCGTGAATATTATTTTCGCGATCTACTGTATACTAGAATATGTATACTAAGGAGATTCGTGTGGGACTACAGTATATCGAAGCTGCGGATGATAGCTCGCGTGATTGTGCAAATCACGATATCTTGCCAAAATATCTACAATTGAAGATGGATAAAAATACGTACATGAAAAGAAAAGATTTATATTTCAGAATCAAGAATGAGGATGAAAATATCGTTTTCTGAGATTTTTAGTAAGATATTCTCAAAATCATTACTCGCTATATAAACATTTAGAACAATCAATTAATTATCTATTACAAGCCCCGATTGTAATCGTGCTGCCGCGTACGCTTGCAAGTGAAATCGTGCGAAATAAGCATAAGTGTGCGTTGAATGTTTTGCAGCGAACGCATGCATTAAAGCACGCATGTGTAAAAAGCTATCTATTAATTTATAATGCAGAATATACCACAGTACCCATATTAATAAATTATAATCAGTATGATGCTCTCTCGAAATATTTCGCAACGTTACAAAATTTTTTATCTAGACAAATTTGGAAATTGAAAACTTTTAAAGCTTTTTTGTTATTGATGCTTAATTCCATATTGTTACATCAATTATGAAGAATTCACATAATGGCATTCATTTTCATGCATTGCGTGAGATACTTTTACAATTGTGTAATTTAATAATACAGTTTTATAAAAATCTATATCAAAATCAATATCTTTTAAATCAAATACGCAAAGTTTATTTTATAATAAAATTGTTATAGATGTACTTTTTTTGCCTAGTAAATGTATTATATGAATATTTATTCAATATCTAATAAGCGTAATACATTTATTACGTACATTAGCAACATAGCTCTCGGAACTTCTTGTTCAGATAATTTTGTTAATGGTACCAAGTCATTTGCTAATTGCAAGTTAAAAACTTAAATGTATTACACAATTCTTCGTAAATATTTTCGTAAATGTTAATGCAAGTGTTTTATCAAATATGAAAATACTAACAATAAGTTAAAAACATAATCGTCCGTACATTTATATTATAAAATTACGAGAATAATAAATTTCATGTATTAAAAGTAAAAGCTTGTGCGTTCGTTTCCATAAATCGTTGAAAGACGTCCCGTTTTTTATCTTCTCTCTGTACTGATGCGTGTGTTAGAAGCATGGATCCAGTTTGTACTTCATGCGTCTAAAAGTACGTCCTATGTGACTCTACACGTGTCTACCTGAAGGCAGAGACGTACCTGTCGAACCGTCGCAGCCTTCGGTGTGAGAAGAACATCCACCTTCTCCTTCAGCATCTAGCCCCGCATAACACATATAAACAACAGATATATCACTGCAGCTAATTATTCTTGTATGCGCTAGCTCTCCATTTGCCTATTCCTAATCCGTCCTTCATGCCACCCACTTACGCCAGCAGACGCATACATAGAGATATATGGCGACCGAAACTTTCTTGTTACATATTCTTAAAACATTTAAATCTTGATTTGCATACGATTTCATATAGGTGCAATTCGTAATTAAATCTGGCTTTTAACGTTACATTTTAAAATCGTATAATTATTCCTTCTATCGTATCTCATTTGCTGCTTCATCGTGATCTGTGTTTTTTAAATTAAGTGGTCTGGCTATTAAATGTGTATTATGAAAATATGGAAATAACTCTTGTAAGTGATACACTATCTTGCGTATAATTCGATACGCTTTTTCTAACATTTTGTTGCTTTTGCCAACTTATAATATTATAACAGCATCTTTTCTTCAAAAGTAAAAGATTTATGGTTAACACAAAAGCAATGGTATTTTAAAATTTCATGGATCGGTAACTATCCAAAGTAACGATTACGTTTGTGCTTTATTTCTAACGTCTGCAGATGATAGATGCTTTTAGCCAAACAGAATGGCTTCGGGAAACGTTCATATCCAGCTTCGAGATTCGAAATCAATACAGGTTTATACGCCTCACGCGAGATTTGAATTATAAAATCTCTTCGAATTATATAACATTTAAAAACTCAGCCTCTCTCAGAGATTAATTATATACAATTTAATAAAAAAATCTTTAGGAATTAATTTATATTTAATAAGATATATAAACATCCCTCCCTTCCCCCAATCTAAATACCTAAATATATTTATCTAATTAAAATTGAAACATAAAAACTGTATTCGATTAACTATAATCACAACATTAAATACGTGAGATGTGGATTAAAAAAATTTATATATTTTAAATTCGTTAGTCTATTTCTATTATCATATACTGTTATAGACATGCATGTATTAGATCATTCATATTACACTTTTTCTTGGAAATATGCATAGTAGTTGAGAAAAAAATGTTCATTCCTAAAGCTTATCTAAATTATTTAATAATGTAGATTTCAATTTTCCGGAAACTACCGGAAGTAGGATAAATCTGAGTCAAGTCAAAATATTAAATAGGGAGATAGGTCATGTAGAGTATAGTATAAATTTTAATTTAAATCTCCGATAACTTTTGATGTCTGGATAAATGAATGACTCATAATCTGTAACGTGTTCTTATTTTTTTCTCGTAAATCATAAGTAATATAAAAAAATTTAAGCAAAGATTGTTTATTTTTAAAAGACACATCCAACTTTTTATTTCGACTTATGTTTTTATTATATTAAAAATTTCATACTTGACTCAGGTTTATTCTTTTTCGACCGAAACGCTGTTAGATGTAGTTTAGAAAACGATAAACTAATAAGAAACAATGAATATTTTTAGTAGTAAAAATTTTTTTTTCGATTTACGGTTATTATTCATTTCCGACAAAAAGAAATGATACGGATGATCTGATTTAGATTCTGTATAATATTATGGAAACGTTAATATTCACACAAAATGCATTAATATCATAATTAAACATTTATTATTTATTATTAATTGTATGCACTATTAATTGTTACTAATTGATACGTACTATTAATTATTAATTTCGTTTACATATAGATATTGTTATACTTTGAAAGATTTATTATAGTTTACAAAGAATAATTAATGTGCGTAATTTTTATATTTTTTCAAATCTGAGGGATTCCAAATTTCTTTAAAATATTTCCTACATCAAAAATACATAAATATATCATGTATGAAGTAATATCATAAATATCAAACACCATTTTGTTTCTGTTCGAAATATTTTGGGGATAAATATCGTCAAACGATAATTAATCTAACTAATTCATCCTGAATGAAAAATACACTATTAATATGCATCTTATCGTATAATTGATAGTATAATTGACTGATAACAACGATATCACATGCTCCATCGAAAACCTGTACACATCGAACAACACACAGAACGACATCGTGTTTCATCAGCACATTCGTATTCGTGGCAGCAATGATTTGGTGAAAATCAGTGGGAATTGAATGGAATCATCAAATGTGATTGGATGATAATGGGATCGATTGAGCGGCAGTGAAAGAATGTCACATAATAATGATCTTCTCAATCGGCAAAATTCTGACTCTCCGTTCTGTACTCAAAGATTCTGCGATCTGCTGGAACCAGTGATTATTACTCATTCTACTCGAGTTTTTAACTAAAATTATCCTTATCCTAAAAGTTTAACGTTATATTTAACGCCAGAGAAAGAAAATTATTCTTTCAAAGAACACTTAAAACAGAGGATCAGCATTGAAAATATTTTACACCAAAATCATCAAGAAATTTTATCCTCAATTGTTCGATGAAATGAAGAGGATTACATTCTAGAACAATATTTTTCATAATTGTTATACCGAATATGTTTTCCTTTTCTTTTTAAAGAACTTCATCCATTTTACGAGATAACAATCTAAGATAAAACGTGATGAAAAATGATCAGTCCCCTTAAAGCGAAGAAAAAGAACTTCGACTGTACATCGTTTTTACATATCAGATATCGAGAACAATACTCGTGTTCTACAGACGAGCGATTTTACACAAAAACGACCAATATGGATAGCAAAGTTATGTTACCTTGTTCTTGCTTGTTCTTCTCCATAGACATGCAAGCAATGCGCCATTCCTGAAGTTCGGGCGATGGGATAAGACCCGCGGAACCAGCCGCGTTATCCTTCCTCGCTTGCCACCAATGATGATCATCCTTGCTGATGATCTGCAGAATGTCACCGGTTCTAAAAGCGATTCCAGCCTGTGCGCAAGGTATCAATTCATCCTCTAGTGGATCGTAGTCGAATTGCGCTCGAACGAAAATCTGTTGGTGTACCAAAGATCACGTTAACATTTCTTAGAGATGGTTAAACGTCGTTAATTTTATTAATCACTGATAAATTCGACGTCAAGGATTTCACTTTGCGTCGATATATTTAATAACGAGAGAAATTATATATGTATAATTATACATTAGAAATTACTACAAAGTGGAAAAATATATATGTGAGATAATTAAAAAGATAATGTGCATTTTATAGTGAAATCATTAACATCTATTGGTTTAGTAAGGAAAACTTTAATTAACAACAATAGGTCCTCGACCATGAGACGTGACTAAGATATCGTTCTACGGCTATATCGATCGCTGATGGACCTACACAGCGCTGCGCTAGACATAGCGAACGAATCTAATGAAATGTTGCGAGGAAAGCGAAAGATGCGACGTAGTAAGCACTGGCAATAGCTCTTGCAAAGAGTGACAGTACAATGTAGAGAATGTACAAAGTATCAATGGCAAATGGAGCGCTCGCAAGTTCGTCCGAATTTGTAGTATTGATTTGTAGTACGTTACATGGCGCATAATAGAGATCCAGTAAAGTACAAATGCACACGTTGTCTCAAGATAACCAGCGATCGACTCGTAGCTCGATTTCGCCACATCGCTTAAAAGTTAAAAAGGAAGGGGCACGTAAATACGAATTTCCAGACGAAATATAAAACTCGCCGGTCTCTGAACGTCGCTGTATGACGTTTTACAGTCGGTACGCAGTTAGGTCATCGACTTTAGTTTAGGGACCTGCACGGTTTTTACAGTCAATCTCGATACACTCATCGGTATTGGGGGCGGGAATTCGTCAACTGGAGGGACACGGGAATTGTTGTGCGAGCTTTTTATGGTCGTAATGCCACCAGCGACACGATTTGATCATTTAGCGATGCGCAATACGTAGTACGTGTAAAGGCATACATAGATATATAACGTATGAGTGATTCCGTTTCACAAGAAGCTCAAGCACTAGTTGCTGCACATCGCGCAAGGACAGACGCACACGTATACGCACGCACGCACGCATACCGAAGATATGCACGATGCAGATATGCGCGCGGCCACTACATGAATGTGTGAGTAAAGAACGACGCATGAGAGAAGGTATAATGTACAGTAAATATAATGAACGATATATGGTTGTAGACAGTGACAAAAGTGGCTTCCGGTTAACGCACATGTCATTCGCAAAACAGAGCTGTGATTTTTAATAATGTGCGAAGAGAGGACGTAGAGGATGAAAGTGAGTAGGGGAAGAGTGAAGGATGATTTGCCATTTTGATTCTGTACGAATATTACACGTCTGGTGTATTCGTAATTGTATCGATTTTAATCACAAATTAAAGGAATTTTCTGGATATATCAAAGTTATGAATATCGACAATTCTGAACTAATTAATGGGTGCGTACTAATTAGAGTCTGTGCGTCACACGAACGAAAATTTGCGACTTTATTTAGCAGCCTATTTGTAACATCATTTTATTGTCAATCCTTTGCGTTTAATAGCTTGACAGTTAATATACACACATGGCATGCCTTTACTTGTAATTTATTAATAGGATCCATTTAATATTCGTACAGGTTTAACGTCTGTATGATAATTTTTTGCATATTGATGAAACTGTACAGTTATTTAGGGTCATTTCTGATACGATGGATTTCGACAAGTGTATACGCCGTTAGTATTCTATACCGTTCATAATTGATTGTAAAAAATAAATATGATGATATGTTATTATATATACGAAAAGAATTAAGAGTTTCATGCTTATTGATAATAATTAAATGTCTTGAAAGTTAATAAAATTATAATACAAAACAAATCAACATTAAACTTACGTTTATTCCTAAATCTCGGATCGTATGGCGATTGCAAGATTTTAGCAATTTTGGAAATTTCGGATGTGGTAATAGAATGTATAGGAATCAATATATTTTTTTTTTTTCACGAGACTGGCGATTAATCGTAGCATTGTCCTGCCAACGTGTAGCCCATTTAACTGTGAATACATTTTTCTATACGTTTCCGGTAGTAGTATGTCTCTATTGGCATCATGTCAGCAAATGTTCCCTTTGAAAATATCGAAACTTGTTCGAATACGAAAAGAGCCACACGTTTTCAAATAGGACGTTTCCATGAATTACGTCAAGTGCTTTGAAAAGCGAAAGAACTTCTTTTAGTAAGAAATACATGAGCGCTCGGACGAAAGGAAAGATACTATTAAATTTATCTGTTGTCAATACAAAATAGTCCCTTGGATAAAAATAGCTGTCACAATTATTTGCATTCGCAAAGTTTAATTCAACAAACTTTATTTTAAATCACAATTTCTCGTAGACAATTAATGATTGAAAATAAAAATGGCTTGAATAAAATTAAAATATTTTTCAGCTTCGCTTTTAATGTGTATAGTCGAAAGATACAATGATAATTTTTATATATAGTACAATGACCGTATGCGCTTTTTACAGGCTTTTTTTTTACTTCTAAAGCATTCCTCTGAGCGTCCATGCGAATAGGAATTTTTTTTATATGGAGGCATGTATAAGCGAACATATCGATACGTATTACTCGCACTTGAGAACTCCTGTCGTGAAGTAGAAGCATTGCGAAAAAAAAAGGAAAAAGTACGCGGGATTAAAAGGGAAAAATTGATAAACAGGAAAATCCGAGTAAAGGTCCTACTTTTCAGCGATGGCGTGTATAGATAATACAGGAACAGAGACAGTACGAGGCATGTATATATAATGTATGTGTAAGTATGAATATAATATATAAGTATATGTACGCATAGCCTTCTAACTACAGCAGTCCAATCACACCAGATCAAGTGGCGGTACTTACTAACACTGGCAGAGGCTTAATCCTGAACAACTAGAGTGTTGAGGAAACAGAAAAAAAGGAAGATCAATTAATTAATCATGTTTCAAAGTCGCACCAAAGCGTAATACGGATTAATCGAGACCCTCCCCCATGCGTATGTCGCATGAGGGGAGAAGAAAAGTGAATAAGAATGACACAATCAATGATAAACAGCACCTACGGTTGAGTCGCACGCGTCAACGCTTCCGAGATGCACGGTGCGCATTGCTGTGTGGCACATGCAGGCTTTACTAGATCCTCTCGTATTATTCAACAGATGTCTTTCGTACTCTCGACACCTACGAGCGTTGGGCTCCCACGCGCAATCTACGCGTACGATATCCAAATTGATGGTGTGAAACCACTGTAGTTTCGAAAAAAATCCCTATTCCCCGGGTACAGAAAAAAAATCTTTCGCGAATCATTTTATTTTCGTAATAAACATGGAAATGGCATGGTCTTATTTTCGTGTGTCTGCAGCATCGGCTTGCCGGAAATATCTACTTTTAATCAAAGTACCACCTGTAACAGTATTCTGTACTGAATCAGCGATTATATTTAAATAACTCGATATTTTAATTCTTAAAGAATACAATACCATATATATTAACTGGCAGTAGAAAAATTTTGTCGTTTCACTGAAGTATAGAGAAGTGTTTAAAATATTGACTGTCGTATACATTATATATTTCATTGTGTTTTGCACTATGCAGGTATTGCTGATAAAGTATAGAGAATACCGCTATTAATACGCAACATATCTAATTAAGCAAACAATAGTAACAACCGTTAATTATTGATCACTTATTTAGATTTTATACAAAGTGATATTACACGCATAGATTATCGTAATTTAACAGTGTGTGCCCAACACCTGCTGCGAGTCGAATGTACGAAGTAATTTCGAGCTCGCAGTTCTGCGGCACGTGTGATGAGCGTGGCGCGGAAATGCAAGTTTCGAGCGAGAACTCTCGACGCTTCCTGTCGGGAGTTGGGAGGAATCAAAGCGGACTGGTACAATTAGCAACATTCTAATGCTGAGTGGTACGCCTGGCGTTTTACGTGATAGATAAGTTTCCTCGCACGTTTCGTTGGAAATAGAACACTTTCAAGCGGGAGCAAGCCGGTAGAAGTTCTCGTGGTTCACTTCTCCAAGTGTAAAATCTGCGATTAGATTACCGTTCCAGTTAAGCAAAAATATGCGTTTATGCGATAAGCTGTAGTTCTGAGCTTTTTAAATTTTGTTTATCAAATGATTTGTACGATTTATACGAGAGACACGCTTTACAGAGTCTTAAGTGTTCATTGTGTTCGCAATGATTAAATAGTTACGCTGCGATTTCGTTAATATGTATATATATATATATCGTATATAGTCGTTTTTGTATCAAATGAATAATGAGATAATGATTTATAATACAAGCGAATGAATGTGAAATAAGGGATAATGTCATTCTAGAACGAACAAAAAAAATAAAATCATGTAAAAAAAGCAACAGTAATGTAACACACAAATATAAAAAAAATTTTGCGAATTGGCTTGATAATATACTGCTGGCTGCTGATCAATATTTCAACCTTGTCTTCATTTCGTAGATTCAAATTACATTGGAATGCCCGGAGATAGTTTGTCGACTAATGATTTTAACTATTGGTAAACAATGTTAGTTAAATATGGCGATGTCCTTCGTCAGCAAATTACATACGATATCGTAAAATAATGCAGGCACAAATTGAACGGTGAAGTTAATTAACTCAACAAATTAGAATTTACTGCGTCATGCCAAACATAAATTTTTGACAAATCGATATTGTATCCCATTTCCTTCGACTCCGTATGCTGCAACACGGAAATTTCTATCCTATCTGATTACAAATTCCTATCTCGCTTCGATTCGGACGAGAGGAATAATGACGCGAGTCCCTTTTATGAAAACCGATTTCGCAGAGCTCGGCAGACGCGCCTCTCGAAACTTCAGGCCGCGCTGTTCGAATAAAGTCACCGCGCGATTGTGCCCATCCCCGTTTCTATAGTAACGTAAAGGACAGTGCATGGACATGGTGGTACGGTATGTGGGTCTCCGACGTGCATTGGAAGCTGCGCTCTACTTCAAAGAAGAAATGAACGGGCGAACGATGGGGAAGGTTTGACGATGGTATGTCGCTGATGGGATTTTCAGGCGACACTGGGAAAGACAATTCTACTCAGTGATATAGCAGGTACTGCGCTATCGACAACTCGTCTGGTGGACTGACTGCTGCTGATGCTGCTGAATCCTCTTGTCGATTTCCATCGAGGCCGAACTATCTGCTTCCGAGCGCCAGACCAGAAGAATCAGGCTTCGGGCTTGCTCTCGGAAGGGGGAAACAAAAAAGAGCTGGATCGCGGTGCAGAATAAATTCGACTGAAAATTTTGCAATGGTCTATTGCGGTAGATTACCCGATTCAATTTCCAACGAGCGTACTACCGCCGGTGCTTTCTATTGTTACTAACGATTTACAACGCGATAAAAAAAAACCAAACTTTTTTTTGAACTATTATCAATATCTCGCGATAATACGATATGATATTGTTCTTAAATTTTAACGTAATTTTCAAAAATCTTTATTAATTAACACACGACGGATAATTCCATTATTTCATACTCTAAGCTTATACGCGTTAAATGTTTCCTAAGATAAATCAATATAATTTAGCACTGCACCGCGATACATCTCTTGAAGAATTGGTTGTGCTTTTGTGGAATGATTTTTCATTCGTTATTGTAAGGACTAAAATTCTACATATATGAATTATGATCATAGATAATGTTAATCGGATTTGTCAGGACGAAGAACACAGGACATATAAAGATTACCTATTTCATCCACTGCATACTGCAATTAACATGTGTGTGACATGGTACAATATGAATGAGGGTAGTGAACATGAAGAGCAACGCTGTGATGTAGGGTTGTGAAATATGATTACAGTTACCGAAGATTTTTCTATCGTTTTCGCGGATTTACCCGAGAAACCAGCTTCGCTTCAGGTTTATTCGGAGCGTCGCCTGACGACAAGAAATTCTTATAGACGCCTCTCTCGCACGCGATCGTAGAAACGTACATCGAGTCATATATTCGTTTCCCATGATATCTTTCACGAAGAGACGTCATAAATCGAAAGTACAAACCGTCGGCAGGCAGAAGATACGCGCGTGCTGAGAATGAAATCCGAAAATGTCGCGAGATCGAAGGATCAATTTCGAAATAGGATTTCGAGGCATCCGTGTTTAATTCGCACTTTGTACGATAAAATAATTCAAAGGAAAATGTATTGAAAAGTATCGAAAAATATAATTATAATATATTTAATCTATATATGTTTTTAAATTTCTAGTACAGTAATAAGTAATTAGAAAAAACAATAAGATACTTTTCATTATTTAAAAAAACATTATTAAAAAACATTTGCATATCGACCGTGGCTTAATCGAATCTATTTATCTAATATACAAGATACAATCGTTAGTAACAATTGGTAGAAATTCTCTTTTTCTAAGATATTTCATAACGGCTGACTTCACGCGCTACCGAATTCCGATGAAAAGGATTGAGCTAATTTTCGAGACGTTTAATGAGATCTATGGCATCGCTCAAGATGCCTTCGTGCAGGGCAATAAAGTGCCAGGCGCAATCGTTGCAGAGTGCAAGAGCGACAAAATGGGCATGTAACGGGAGAGTGACGATACGGGAAGAGGGTCATGTCAAGCACGACGATGTGCGTATGTAGGTATGTGTGTACATCGAAGAGACAGAGAGTTCTTGTATGTAACGTTCGTCGATTCTATTTCTACGGCGGACACGGACAAAAGATCGCGTTACAGGTGACGTGCGACGACTCGTGATGTGTTCCAGCGGTTCATGCTTTATTATATCTTCGTACAATGCTCTGCGGGGGGTAACAACGCCGCTGCCGTTGCGCTCGCCGATGCTGTTGCTGCTCTCGCCTAAAGATGCGATTGGAGAATGGGGATCCGGGAGTGATGGCTTCGGAAATGCAACGTGGTCGGGGCGAGGGGACGGAGGAGGGGGAGGGAGAGGGTGTGCTTATCGAGGGTGTCTCGCTTCCCGTGTAACGCACGAGATACCCTGTTCTCGTTCTACAACGCTCGTCGTCGCGAAACGCCTTGGGTTACATTGTCTTATTCGTATCATACCACGTAAACGGGTTGCCGCACATTCCGACAGCACGATGTGTTTGCGCAGTGATTATTAGCCGTAAATGCTCCCTTTTAACGTGACAGATGTAGCACAGACGCACGAGACAGAGAACAATTAACTCTTGGTAAGCTCATTTTTTTGTAGAAGGTGAAACAGTTGTCGATAGACGTTAAGATTTGTTGAACATTTGCAGACTTATCAAAAATACCGACTTTTCTCCGCAGGCGAAATTTTACTGCGTAATCTTAATCGCATCTGTTGTATACGAGTCGTTCTCGCTATACCGTCGTTCCTCGAGCTCGTAATATCTTTCTAATGTAGGTGACAGTTAACGGTTCATCTGTCCCGTGTCCTTCTACCTTGCACTCCCGAAAGTTTAACGAAATTGTATATTTCGGAAAATATGATCTATACTATGCAATCTCATATACAGATATTTGTCACACCAACAATTTGAAGTATACATTGATAAGATCTGCGTATGCTTGAAACATCCATAGACTCCCAACACATTTTACAACGCTTTACAAAATCTAAATCCAACCAAGCCGTCTGCACACACGTATATATGTGTAGTATAGAGTGTGAAAGGAAGTAGGCAATATATCACGTTCTTAACATATCTCCACTTCCTTTTGCATTTCTACGTGATGCATAACGAGAAGAACGAGAGGCCGGGCGCTACGTTAAACACATGTATGAACATAAGCAGATATACAAATACAGTATTTACAAATGAATGCTACGTCACACCAAGATATCGAAATTATAATTCAAACTGAACCGCACGCGATATATTTAAACAATA